CCGCCCCAAAAACCCCCGAGTAATTGAGAAGAGCATCGAATCTTTCTCGTTTCCGTTGTCATTTTCTATGAAACCGTTGCCAGCCAGCGAGGCACCAGAATGCCCTACCTGTCCTTAACTAATTGAAACCAATAACATCGTCAACTTGTCACGATAATGTGCCATGTGAGACGGGTGTCTGTATTTAATGAACCACCAGATTCCTTATTCCACAGGCCACGCTGGGTAAATAAGACAATAGCTTTTACAGAAATGAAATGAAACAAGAACTTATCATGGTCTGAACTAGGAAAATACCCTGACATTTTGCTATTTCGTGTAGTTGGATTTGTTTTGTCTGAAACAAATAAATAAATGATAAATGACTAAGACCATTCTCCAAAGGTGTTGACATCACGAAATACACGAAATATGAGAAAGTAAATACTAGTATCAAGTCACAACTATTTTTTGCCTTATGTTTAGTTTCGTCACCTGCTGAAAAAAAGATGTTTCACAGTAAAGTATCAGTCACAAACCCTGCACAGAACGAAGTAGGAAAAATCAACCAAAATGTACGAAGCTTAGATCTAGACGAAGGTTTTTTTCTGGAACTGAAAGTAAGACGCATAAATTCAGACTCTAATCAATTGTCTTTTAATCTTATCCGTATGCCCTAGGGTCATTTTGTACCCCCGGGGTCGAATTCTTCACATTTTATAATACTTCTAGTTCGAAGATCTCTTTGAAACTTTCAGTATTTCTCAAAAAATCATTTTGACAGACTGCTATGCAAAGCATACGGATTGGATTAACGAGCAAATTTCCTCTTTGGAAAGTGGTTGCAGAGAGTTCCCCACGTCGTATGGATACGATAGTAAAACAGACGTACGGATAGGGTTAAAGCTGTAAACAGGATGTTGCAGAGGAATTTATATACAGCTACTCCCTTAACACAGCCCCATGATCATGGGCGTATCATATAATAGATTACGTAATAACCTTTGACATAATATCGTGTGGGCGTATCCATGCATTACATGAATATTTTTTAAGAATCTGTGAAGGATGTGTTTTTGCTGTTTTATACATAGAGAAAAACCCTCAAAACAGTTCTTGTTAAAACGCTGTTTTTGTTTTTGGGGTTTGTTTGGGGTTTTTATTCAACTTGAAAAGTCATTTACACTAAAGCTCAAGTAAAGAACGCACCTTTTTTTAACAACGCAATAAACATGGCTGCTACCATTTTGGAATTGTCAGAGTTGGAAGTTTGAGCTGTTCTTACGTTTGTAAGCCCAAAAGGGAACTATTCGTCTAAATTCTACTGTAAATTAGAGACCGTATGTGGTAAAGATGGGATTAGTTGTTTTTTAAGTTTTTTTTAAAGAAAAGAAAGAAAAGAGAAGAAATGAGAAGAAAAATGAGAAAAAAATTATGTAGATTAATGGTGTAATTTGTTCAGAGAAGGTTCAAAAGGGCTTGCAGTGGGTGAATGTCGAGTACTCTGCTGTGGTTTGCTCCTTCTTTTCTATCAAACATCTATCGTCCCCAATCCTTCTCCTTGTTTTCTTTGCACGTTGCTATCTAATAACATACCTTATCTTTGGATAATATATGACCTTCCCCCCACCATGGCAGTGGTAATGACTGAAGTTGTCTTTAGGCCATTCCCAAAAGCATGTTCTTATGCACAGCAGAATTGTAAATGGGCTGATGTATCAATGTCATGCTCATACTGCACCGGAACAACATAGGGGGAACTGCTGCTTTTTTCTCATCCTTACTATCGTCATTTTTCCTCTACTTCTTTTGTATGTTTGTCACACTCTTGTGACCCGCTATTTCCGGGGTGCCTTTATAGTCGAAGCAGACTTTGTGCTGTCGGGGCTAGAGAGGCGAGCAGAGTAAGTCTGATTCCCCGTTTGGACTTCTCTATTGATATCCACCCCTTGGCGCTCATATGACCTTATCCAGTTGCGATCGCTGAAAAACCTCTACTAAATCTAAACTATACAGGACCTAATTGTATTTGCAAGTGCCGTGAAGCTTTTACTTATATTCAATTACAGGTCATTTAAACTTGGAGGACGAACGGTTTCAGGACGGCTTACATAAGCATGATGTAGATTGCTGCAGTTTTTGTTTCTCGAACGAGGGCAAAGCTGCATATTTATCAGTGTGTGCAAATGTACTCAACTAAAAGTATTCTAAAAGTTAAACGTACCTCGAATGCGTTACAAAACAAATTCGTCATACAACTTCATTGAAACAGCAACCTATGTAGCATACTCTTCTTATACAATATCTCTCTCTCTCTCTCTCTCTCTCTCTCTTTCTCTCTCTCTCTCTCTCTCTCTCTCTCTCTCT